GCAGATTTGGGGGGAAGCAGGCGATCTAACCAGTGATTCCCTCTGCTTTCACCTCTCCTTCCTTCTTGCTAGGGAGCTAGAGGGGTGCTGTGGGCTTGGTGATGCATGAGGTGTGATGTATAAAACAAGAATTGCACAAAAAAGGGAAAGGAATATAGCTTTAGAGGAGTAACATTTCTGCATCTCACTGTCATTTAGTATAAATCTGAAGCTGATCCTGACAAGGAAGGAGAGGCCATCCCACTCTGAAGTCAGAGTTGTAAGATGATGTGTCGCAGACCCTCTCTGGCGAGTTTCTGGCCCCTCTGCTGGTCACTCTTAAAACGATACCATTAGTCTGTGTGTGTGTAAATCATATCCTGACCACAAGAGCACTAATTTGCACTAATTTCTCATCCCTTCTTTTCACTTCCAGAGGAGTTTGAGTGTGTGTGTATGTGTGTGTGTGTGTGTGTGTGTGTGTGTGTGTGTTATGTTGAGGGTGATGGAGTAGAGGTTGTGGAAGCGGACTGTAGTTTTGTGAAATATTTCTATTTACAACCCGAAGACCATGAGCCAGAGAGGGCACTTTCATCTCCCGGTGGCTCAGTTTCCCCATCGGAAGGCAAGGTTTGCTTGACCAGCTGGCATGTTTTAAGACTCGTGTCTCTGATGCAGAAAAGGATCATGGAATACAGAGGCCAGGTGGCCTGGGTCCAAGTCCTGGTTCTGCCACTCACCGGCTGTGTGACCTCAGCCAAGATACTTAACCTCTCTGTGCTTCAGTTTCTTCGTTTGCAAAATAGCACTGATAATAAAAGGACGCAGTTCACAGGGATTCTGTGAGAATTAAATCAGTAAAGCCTCAGGGCCCTCGGCAGGTGACTGCAAGAATGTCCCCGTGCTCTGGCATCTGACCAGACAGAAAGAGTGTTGGTGGGTGGCACTTTAGAGCCCTAACGTGGATGGTCACCATGATGGACATCAGTAGGGTTAGACAAGGTAGATGGGCACCCGAGGGCTGACCAGTCCCCTGGAAGTGCATCAGGGTAACGACTATCAATTGTCTTTCAGAGGACTTTGGGGGTCTCTCCCCGAAGCAGTCCTGGTATGGTACGTTTCCAAGTTCCCGGGGCTGCCTTCCCCCAGGATCACTCTGATGTGTGGTTCTTCAGTATTTATGCCGACAGCTCCTTAGAAAGAACCCCGGATTCCAAGCTGGGGTCTGTGCCCTGACTTCATGCGGCCCATTTTCTAGGGGACACCTGGGGCTATCATGTGGCGGTCACCTCGCACATGAAGGCCCCAGACAGGCTTACGGGGCTGTTAGCGCCGAGGCGGGAGCACCATTGTCCTGGTTTCTGCTTGCCGCTGTAACCAATGACCTCAAACAGCAGCTTAAGGGGGTGCCAGTCTAGTACCTCCATTCTGTAGGCTAGAAGTTGCACTCAGGTCTCACCGGGCTAAAATCAAGGTATCCGCAAGGCTGTGTCCTCACTGGAGGCTCTGGGGAAGCATCTGCTTCCGCGATTTTTCAGATTGTTGGCAGAATCGAGATCCTTGTGGCTTCCAGGGGCTGGTGGCTGTCGGCTGGGGCTTCCCTTGAATCCTGGGAAACTCCTTTGTGGTTAACACATCCATCACTTTGAGTAGTTGCCATGTGTGTGCGTGTGTGTGTATGTGTGTGTGTTGAGAACATTTACGATCTGTTCTCTTGGTGACTTTCAAGTATGTAGCACAGTGCTGCTAACTAGAGTCACCTGCTATACATTGCATCCCCAGAACGTATCTATCTTATAGCTGTTAAGTCTGGACCCTTGGACCAACAGCTCCTCATTCCCTCCTGCTCCCACCAGCCCCAGCAACAGCCAGTCTGCTCTCAGTTTTTGTGAGTTCAGTATTTTTAGATTCCACATATAAGTGAGATCAGAGAATTTGTCTTTCTCTGTCTGACTTATGTCACTTAGCATAATGCCCTCAAGGCCCATCCATGTTGCCACATGAGGCAAGATTTGCTATTTCTAAAGGCTGAATAATGTTCTATTGTGTAGGGGCGCCTGGGTGGTTCGGTCGGTTAAGCATCTGACTTCGGCTCAGGTCATGATCTCGTGGATCGTGGGTTTGAGCTCCACATCCGGCTCTGCGCTGACAGTACAGAGCCTGCTTGGGATTCCTTCTCTCTCCCTCTCCCCTATCCCACTCTCTCTCAAAATAAATAAGTAAACTTAAAAAAACAGTCCGCTGTGTATACATAATACATTTTCTTTATTGATTCATCTGCCGATGGACACTGAAGTTGTTTCCATGTCTCGGCTATTGTGAATGAACATAGGAGTGCAGATTTCTCTTTGATATAATTATTTTATTTCCTTAAGAAGTACACTCAGACATGAGATAGCTGGATCCTATGGCATTTCTATTTCTATTTCTTTTTTTAATGTTTTTAACTTATTTTTGAGTGAGAGAGACAGTGTGTGAGCAGGGAAGGGGCAGAGAGAGAGGGAGACACAGAATCCGAAGCAGGATCCAAGCTCCGAGCCATCAGCACAGAGCCCAGCGCAGGGCTGGAGCCTGCGGACCTCGAGATCATAACCTGAGCTGAAGTGGGATGCTTAACCAACTGAGTCACTCAGGCGCCCTGGTATTTCTATTTTTAACTTTTTGGGGAAGCCCCATACTGTCTCCCACAGTGGCTATACCACAGGCCAACACAACCCTCCATCTCTTCATAACCCCAGCCTCTGAGGTCCCTCCCTCCACAAGTTACCCCTGGGATTTCCGGGTTGCCCTCCCTTCAGGTTCTGGAAGGCACCTGCCGCCTCCCAGCCCACGACTTTTGCAAGTGTAGTTTCCTCTGCCCGGAAGGCATCTTCCTCCTTGCTTTGCCCCCTTCCCGCCAACCGCCTGGAGATAGCAGCTCGGGGGCATCTTCTGGGAAGCCCACCTGTTGCCAACCCCAGGCTGAACCCAGAGTCCTGAGCTCATTCTTCAGGGGACTCACCTGACTGGACCACAGAGATGGCAGGTGACTCGGTCAGCCACGAGGTTTAAGCTCTTGGAGGGTGGGGGCAGAAGGGCCATCCAGGCTCCTTTATAGATGTTCTCAGAAAGTGGGAGCTTTTTCTTTTTTTTTAATGTTTTTAATTTATTTTTGAGAGAGTGCATGAGCAGGGGAGGGGCAGAGAGATAAGGGGACAGAGGACCCTAAGCAGAGCAGTGACGCAGGGCTCAAACTCATGAACTGGGAGATCATGACCTGAGCGGAAGCCGGGCCCTTAACCGGCTGACCCCCCCCCCCCAGGTGCTCGGAAGGTGGAAGCTTTTAATTACATTTATTGAGTGCTTGCTGTTTGCGGGTGTGGCACTAAGCACATGCCCTTATCCGCTCAACGCTGGTGAGAGATGATCTTATTTTCCCCATGGTACAGAGGAGACGGCGGCGAGCTGACTCGCGCATCTGCACTTAAAGGCTGCCAATGTCATAAGGACCTCCAGGGACGGTGGGGGAGAGCAAAACCATAGCGAGGCCACATGGAGGAGCCTTTTCCAAATGCCAGGTCACTCACTCTCTCACCTAGTCCCTGGCGGAGCATACCAGCGTGGCTAAGTGCAGAGAGAGCCTCGCCTCGCTCATTATCCATTCCAGCCTCCTTTCTGGGAAGACGAACAACTGAAAACAACCCAAATGCCCTTTAAGGGCAAATGCAAATCATTCTGCCTGGCACCAAAGGGGGAGGCCCCCGCTCTCCCTTTCCTTAGAGCAAACTTGTAAATTCTTTCCAGGCTCCTTTTAGGTGTATTCGTCTTCGAAAAGGCTGAATAAGCCTCCAGCCAGTTTTACCACCAGGAGCACCTTTCTCACGGATGGGAGAGCGGGCCCGGGTCAATGCCCATCACCCAGCCTCTGTGGGAGGGTAGGAACCTAACACCAGTTTAGGCTCCCGGCTGCAAAAAATCTCCTCTTGTAAAGATGGAAAAACTTTTAATTCTTTAATGTTTATTTTTGAAAGAGAGAAAGAGAGAGCAGGTGCAGGGGAGGGGCAGAGAGAGAGGGAGACACAGAATCTGAAGCAGGCTCCACGCTGTCAGCGCAGAGCCTTACGTGGGGCTTGAACTCACGCACTGTGAGACCATGACCTGAGCCGAAGTTGGACGCTTAACCCATGGAGGTACTCAGGGGCCCCAAGATAGGAACTTCTTGTTCCTGCGGATGAAGACAGCTAGCCCAATTACTGGGTGAATTCAAGAAGAATTGTGACAAATGGGACCATCTAGTACCTTACGCGAGGATGCGTTACCATTTGAGAACACGGATGTACTCGACTCGTATCTGCTGGGTGATATAAGCGGGTGGGGTTTCTGCCTTTGCAGTCTCTTCAGCGGATGGTCCGATGTGCGCCGCAATCTGGTTTAATGCTTATTCAGTAATACAAATGTTTTCTTTCTCTTCTACTTTTGTGGAGAGGTTTTTCTGGTTGGTGGGAGATTTTTAAATTAAACATATTTTATTTTAAAAAGAGAGAGAATGTACATGGGTTGGGGGGAGAGAGAGAGAGAGGTAGAGAGGAGGAGAGGGAGAGGGAGAGAGAGAGGGAGAGAGGGAGAGAGACTCTCTTTTTGCTCAGCATGGAGCCTGACGGTGGGGATCCACGGCCCTGGGATCATGACCTGAACTGAAACCAAGAGTCAGATCCTCACCAACTGAGCCACCCAGGCGCCCCAGTGGGAGATTTTGTTTTAAATTTTGTCTCCAACACCTCCAAATGTCTTTCTACTGAGGGCTGGTTGAATACACTTGGTACCTCCACACATTGGAATACTATGTGGTCAGGAGATAACATCAGAGTCCTCTCTCCATTATTAAAAAAAAAGTTATATTTATTTATTATTGAGACAGAGAGAAATAGAGCATGAGTGGGGGAGGGGCAGAGAGAGAGGGAGACAGAATCCGAAGCAGGCTCCAGGCCCTGAGCTGTCAGCACAGAGCCCGATGAGGGGCTCGAACCCACGAACTGTGAAATTATGACCTGAGCCAAAGTCGGACGCTTAACTGACTGGGCCACCCAGGCACCCCTCCATCTTCATTGTTGAGTGAAGTACAAGATACACAGCAGTTTAGTACTTTTTCTGTAAAAAGACCCTATTTGTATTTGCATAATCTCTGCAAGACTGAACAAGAAAGTAATCAAAGTGCGTGTGCATTGAGAGCAGCTGAGCCAGATGAAGGAGAGGAGAGATGGAATTTTTTGCTGAACATCATTTTATATTTTCTGATTTTTGAAACACACGACTATATTATCTATTCAAAATAAATTCAAAGGAGGGCCGGTGGCCAGCAAGCAAACCACTAGAGGAAAGAAGTCCCAGGACCGGACATTCTCTAAGCCTTTGATTCTGGTTCATTTCTAAGCTTAGCCTTGACCTTAGAACTGAAAACTGATTATATTGATTTTAGAGCCCTGATCTTAGTGGAAAAGCAGGGGATTTCTATCTGAAAAAAGGAAAAAGAAAACACAATAACCATCGGGTAGCTGGTGCCCCCCTCCCCAGCCGAGAGAACTGATTCCCAGGGTTCGCAGGGTCCAGTCTCATCCTTAGTGAGTGGGGGAGGGGAGGGGACTCACTTGGGTGTAGCCCTCCATGCGTCCCCATCATCTCTGCCACCTAGCAGGTCACTTGCTTTCTAAGGAGAAGGACCTCTTGAGTGAGGAGGGGTGATGGGAAGGGCTGAGTGGGGTACAATGTCCATGCATGTTGGGAACGGGGGGTGTGAAGATGCCCAAGATTCTGCCATGAGCCAACGGTCCTTTACAAGCTCTTCTGTGACAACAGTAGGAAAAAAGAATGCGGGGCAGGGGTCCTCTCTCAGCCCCCCTCCCCTGGCCACTTCGGGGTCCTGTTGCTGTCCCTCTCATCAGACATCAGATCAGGAAATGGCCCACGCGGGCTGCTTCTCCCCTTTATTCCTGTGCTAAGCCAGTGAGGTAGGTGCTATTTATCATAATCCCCATTTTAGGAAACTGAGGCACAGAGAAATAAGCGACTCCCCCAAGGTCACACAGCTTGCCAGGGCTAGCTCACCCTCTCCGCATTCCCCTTCTGACACCCTTGCGCCTGCCTCCGGCCGGGTGCTGCAAATCCGCGGCCTCTCAAGGGTCCACGGAAGTCCTGCGAGGGAACTGCAGGCGCTGCGACACGGCGCTGGGGGCAGGGCTGCTCTTTGCACGTCCCGGTCCCGTGGGAGGCCCCGTGGCTTTCTTCCCGCCCCCCACCCCGTTCCGGAGCGGAGTTTGTGCGGATGCGTAGAGACTCAGGCTCCGCCTCCCAGCTCCCCGCCACCTGCCCTGCGGCCTGGGGTGCGTGCCTTGCCCAAGTTTCCGGTGTTAGTAATGGGAGTGGCTCAGGGTCATGTGACGGACCACGCCGCGTGTCCTAGGTGGAGCACTGCAGGCTGCAGAAGTCCGCGGATGAGAAGAGCCTGAACACGTTGACCAGCGGGAACATGAGCACGGCGCCCAGGAGGGAGCCCAGCTGCACCGCCGCCCCGCACCACAAGAGGGCGCTGCGGCTGCGGTCGCGCAGGATCACGCCCAGCATCACCTTGACGTAGCTCAGACAGCCGACGAACAGCACCCAGGAGGCCACCTGTGGGTACAGGGCAGGAGAGATGCAGGGTGAAGGGGGTTTTGCGGTGAGCCCCGGGGGAGAAGGGTGCTTGGAGGACGACCCTCTAGGGTTAGGGGGGCCCCATGGAATAACCTCTAAGTTGAGTAGAGGCTTTGGGGGCGACCCTTTAGGGCTGGGGGTCCCATGAGTCGACACACATGCCCGGGGAGAACCCAATAGCCTTTATGTCCCCCATAATCAAAGCAAGGACATCTGGGAGAACGCCACTGCTAACAGACACATGGCAGGAAGAGTGTGGATTCAGGGGAGAGTCTGGACTGTCACCTCGGACCAGCCACCTCACCTTCCTAAGCCTCTGTTCCCAAGCGAGAAGCATCCCTCCCCTGCCCACCTCCCCCTGGGGCCTTCAGTCAATGGAAACGGTCACCTCCGCTAGGTGGGGGGGGGGGGGGAGGAAGGGGGAGCCCCACAGGCCAGATACTTACAATGAGGACTTCTCCACCCCAGTGGCCCTGCATGAGGGGGCAGGGGCTCATCACGGCCATGGCCATGTTGTAGGCCCCGAAGCCGGTTCCCAGCACCGTGAGGACCCCCAGGAATGGCAGAGACCTGGGGCAGAGCAGGGGAGAAGAATGGAAGCGATGAGAAGCCTGACCTCTGCCTCCTCCACCCGGGGGGCGGGGTGGGCCGCCTAGAGTGGGGTCAGCATCTCCAGGGCTAGAGGTTAGATCCCCGTGGGAACTTCCAGGCCACCTGGCTCAAGTGGCTCGCAGAGATTCCTGACGGGGCAAGGCCGGCCTAAGCCACCCTGAACATGAGCGGCGGGGGGAACAGAACCTATGGACGCTGGTGCTGCAGGGACGTGATTCGGACCCTGCTTCCCATCTGAGCTGCAAGACTGGTCCCTGAGCCCGTTTCCTCCCCGAGGATAGGAGTCTCCCAGGGCTGTGGGAACCTGTGGGACAGAGTGTGCCGGGCCTGGCCCTGGGCCCTGCCTGGTATTTCATCTGCCATCATTTCCTCCTGCCACATTCCCAACTGCGGCCAGGAAGCCGGGCTGACTTGAAGGTGGCTTTGATGGCAGCACTGGCCCTGCCGGGGGGAGGGGGAGGGCATGCCGTGGGACCTCAGCTGACCCCTTCCCTTCTGGCCGCCCCTACCCTGGTCTACAACGTGAGGCTGACATGATCTAGGGGCCCTGGTGGCCTTCCTTGTAGGCGCTAGGTGTGACAACTGAGGCCACTGTCCTTCATCTGAGGTCGTCGCCCCTGGGGCCGCCCCGTGCATGCTCTTCTCGACACCAAGATGGGTTTGTGGCCCTGGGTGAGAGCGAGGCTCTGCCCCTGGCTTTCGGATTCGGGATTTCTCACACTCTGGGGGTCTCACAGCCCACAGATCTGTGGCTTCTGGTCCTGCTTTGTCAGAAATCTCGTCTCCTGCCACCATGTCAAGCCCTCAGGGAGGACATTCAGCTTTCTGGCAATGACGTTTTCTGTCCGACTCGCCTATTCCCCTTCTCCCGTCTTCCTGGGCCGAGGGAGGTGGGTGTGAGCGGGTCGGAAACGCCCGTGAGGGCGGGCAGTGGTGGGTGGGAGGCTGTGGGGCCATAAAGTTTCATGACCCCGAAGTCTGTGTCTCCGACCAGCATCTGACTGCCCCCCCCCCAACCCCCGCGGTGGAAGTACTGAGGCTGCTTTACTGAACTTGGAAATCTCAGGCCCCCATCTAGGCTGGCTTCATCTGCATTTTATCAATTTGCTTAGCCATTCTTCCAGAACTACAGCTGTAAAGGAGCCAGCAGGAGCTGGAGGCAGGAGCACAGGGCTGCACTACTGGGAATTAGACCCTGTCTCTGACCCCAGGGTGTCTGTTTGCTCGTGGGAACCTCAGCTCCGGCCTCCATTCCTCCTCAAGGGCCAGTGGCCGGTCAACCCCTACACTGGACCTGCCCCGTGCAGGCACTGCTCTCAAATCTCTACAAAATTAGCTCATTTCATGCTCCCAGCCACCCCCGGAGGTAGAACTCTTATCGCCCCCATTTTCCGGATAGGTATCCTTGAGGCACAGAGAAGTGAAGTGACTTGTCCAGGATCACAGAGCTAGGAAGTGGTGGAGTGGGGATTTGAACCCAGGCAGTCAAGCCCCTAGAAACCGCGTTTCAACCACCATCCACAGAGCCCGATAGGTGGAATCCTGACTTCTGGAACGAAACGGGCCCCAGCAAGAGCTCCCCAGGGCCAGCTGCGGTGGACCTTTGAGGCAGGAACATGGAGAGGAAGCAGGCGAGGGGGTTGGCCATGGAGCTGAAGGTGGCGGACAGGTGGTAGGCGACGGGCCCGTAGGACAGGCAGGAGTAAGTCTGCACGGAGGGCAGGACGCCGTTGGTGAGCGCGTTTATGAAGGCCACCAGGGTGTAGATGCAGATCAGGGAGGCTGCGTGGCGGGGGCCCGTCTTCTCCTCTGGATGCTCCTGCGCCTTGCCGCTGCCCCTTGGGCTGGGGGGGCCCAGGTCCTCCCCTTCCCGTGGCCGGATGGAGTGGAGAGTGACCTGGGAGGTGAGGAGGTCCTCTATGGAAGATTCCCTGGGTCTGGGCTGACGCTGGAGGAGAAAGAAAGCGACCAGGCAGCAGGCCATCATGAAGGAGAGGAGGAGGAAGAAGACCAAGGGAGAGAATTTGGCCGGGAGGTTGCGACTTTCCAGATGAACCGCGGAATGCGCCGGCCCGGGAAGGTCAGGCACGAAAGTGCTGTTAGAAGCCTGGGGAAAGATAAAATAGGGTCAGCCGGGTCCCTGGGGGGGGGGGGGGGGAATGTCAGGACATAGGTGACAACAATATCAATAACAATGTAGAATAAGTAGCTTGCACTGTAAGTAAGGGATGGACATCATAACACACAACTCCTCAGGTCATAATGAATGTTCACGTGGCCTGACGGCTCAGTGAGCACCAGCACTTTGCCTGCGTCACAGTAGCCTGTCTCACCTGAGGGCCACAGGGACTGTGTGGCAAAGGCCGTATGCTTGAGTCCACCTGCTTCTTTCCGACTTAGAAGCTATGCCTTTCCCTGCGCTACTGCCTTCTAAGGGCTGGCGCCCACACGTAAGTTCCGAGGAGGGGCAGCCTTGCCCAAAGTAGCCCTGTGGGAAGGTGGCCTGGCGTGGCCCAATTCCCCTCTTTTTCCTTCAAAGATTTTAAGTAATCTCCACGCCCAACGTGGAGCTCGAACTCACAACCCCGGGATCCAGAGTCTCATGCCCTACCGACTGAGCCAGACAGGTGCCCCACGGCCAAATCTCTTTTCAAAAGATACCGTCCATCTAGACTTACGCACATGAAATCTCAAGTATTTAAATGTCTTCGACTAATTCAAACACTTAAGGGAAAATGCTTGCAGGTTACAGCTGCCTGGGGCCACGGGGTTTGCACCCAGCCACGTACTGCTGTGGTTTGGACAGTACCAGCTGTGTGTGACGTGTCTGACACCCAGGCAACAATAGCAACAACAAAAAGGTTGACATCTTAAACAACATGGAGCATTGAAGCCATGTCTAAAGTCTACAGTTCTGGGGCGCCTGGGTGGCTCAGTTGGCTAAGCGTGAGACTTCGGCTCAGGTCATGATCTCACGGTTCGTGGGTTCGAGCCCCGCATCGGGCTCTGTGCTGACAGCTAGCTCAGAGCCTGGAGCCTATTTCAGAGTCTGTATCTCCCCCTCTCTCTGACCCTCCCCTGATCATGCTGTCTCTATCTCTCTCTAAAAAATAAATAAAACATTAAAAAAAGTTAAAAAAAAATATAAAGTCTACAGTTCTTAGCCATGGATGTATGTTAGCATCACCTGGGAATTTTGAATAATTACACATCCACAGTACCTACTTTGCAAGTTGGAAACACAAAGGCTCTGAAAGTTAGCTCCCCCGGGTAGGGGACGTGAGAGTGCAGCCAGGTCAAGGACACGGTCTGCACGATCTTGCCTGTGGTCGATCACAGAGCGCTGCCACCGCAAATGATGGGTACCTGTGGGAAGACGATGCTCCTGGTGGTCTGGGCGCTTGGGGTGGTGTCTGAGGGCTCAGTGACATTGACACAGGTAGTGAGACCCGAGCCCTGGACCAGAGCCACAAGGGCAGGCAGGAGGCCGCTGAGTCCTTCGCCCACAAAGAAGGTGGTGAGGTAGTGGGCGGGCAGCCGGCTCATGAAGGGCAGGAAGGTGACAGAGGAGGTGCAGTCTACCAGGGCCAGGAAGAAGGTGAGGACCATGAAGGCGACGCTGTGGTGGCCGTCCAGCACCCAGGAGGTGACATTCCAGAGGAAGGCGAAGAGGGTGCAGGCGACGGTGCCCACGCCCAGCACGGTGAAGATGATGGGCACCTCCAAAAGGCAGCCAGGCTGAAAGTGATGGAGCAGGGTGACCAGGAGGGGGCCGATGTTGGCCAGCTGGATGACCACCGTGAGGTAGGAGGGGAGGTACCAACCCTCGGGCAGCTCCGTCACCAGCAGGGGGAGCTCTACCCAGAGCCCATTGATGGCTACCCAGGAACCCAGCCCGAAGGTGCAGACCAGAAGGTGCGTCAGGAGGGCCATGGTGACAGTCCGCCCTGCGCTGAAGCTGCCACTGCCCAGATCGGCCTGCAGCGGGGAGAAGAATATCTGGTGAGCGATGGTGGGGTCACCGTCTGTGACAAGACAGAGCTGTGGAGCCCACGTTTTCCTGGGCTTTTTACTCTAGGAAAACACAGACAAATTCTTTTATGGCTAAGCCTGTCAGGGGGAAAAGCTTCCCCAACCCTGGCTTGGATGGCCAGGGACTGCCAAGGAAAAGCTTGACACATTTAATTGCATAAATAGTAAAACATATAAAAGCAAGCAAACGACAAAGCTCCCTCTTCAAAAAAAAAAAAAAGACAAGGGCAAAGAAAAGAAAAGAAAGGTAAGAAATACCAACAGTAAGATCAAAAGATGCCAAACGGGGAAAACAGTTGCAGTGTAAATCATAGACAAAGGAGTCATCTTCCTCCCTATGTAAAGAGTTTGTAGAAATCAAGAACAAAAAGACCCAGAGAAGAGTGGGCAAAAGATGTGACGAGCTCAGAGGAAAAGGCACAAATCAGCCTTAAACACACAAAAAGACCTGGGCTTACTCCCAAGTGGCTTTGCCTCTCTGTGCCTCATTTGCCTCATCTATAAGTAGATGGCAAGGACAGTTGATGGGCCAATCACCTCCTTTCACTGATGTGTGGGATCCGGGGAGGTGGGGTTTGGAGCCCCCCCCCCCCCCCCCGTGGGAACACAGGCCTGATCCCTCGGTCCCTCCCTCTTCACATGTCAGTCTTTCTTGCTGCAGAACCGTCTTTGTGGCTATGCCTCACCCAGGGAAATTCCCCACACCTCAGTGCCTCCTTTCCGGGCTCCCACCCACAGAACTGCCTCTCAAGCCCCAGACGAACTCTTTTCTTCCTCCTTCCTCCACGGAGGGAAGCCCATCCTGGAGCAGAAGGTGGTCTGACCTGCTTTCTGTCTCACTCTACCACCTCCTTTCTGGAGGCCTTGGACAGGTGGTTTAAGCTCTGGTCTCTGAACCTGTTGAGGCTGGCCATACCAACAGCCTGCAACAGACCTGGCTGAAGGCATGCCGAGGGGACCCACGGGGAGACGCTCCAGGCCTCCAGCCGGCTGTCGCCTGGAGAGGACCCTTCTCGCGGGTCTGTTGTGTGTGGCTCCTCGGAATGTGTTCCAGAACCGGCAGGATCTCACTGGGAACAAAAAGCCACCCTGCACCAACTCAGGCAGGATACTTGTCTATGATCAGCGGAACAGTACAGAAGGACAAAAAGGGAGAGGGGAATGATACTTCAAGGCCAGGGTGCCACTGCTTCCCATGGGTCCCCTCTCCCTTTTCTTTCGTTGTTGCAGAGGCCAGAGTTTGGGTTGGGCAAATAGCCACCAAACTACAAGAAGAGCACAGGGGCGCCTGGGCGGCTCAGTCGCTTAGGCTTCTGACTTCGGATCAGGTCATGATCTCATGGTTCGTGGGTTCGAGCCCCGCATCGGGCTCTGTGCTGACAGCTAGCTCAGGGCGTGGAGGCTGCTTCGGATTCTGTGTCGCCCTCTGCCCCTCCCCCGCTCACACTCTGTCTCGCTCTCAAAAATAAACAAACATAAAAAATGAAAAAAGAAAACCAAAAATCTCCACGAGTACATTTCCCAGCCTCCCTTGCAGTGGTGCATGGACATTTGGTCGCTGCTAGACCAGTGAGGCCGTGAGGGACTTTGAGAAGTCTCCTTAAAGATGATGGGGGTGTGGGGGGGGGGCGGGTACCTTTCTGCTCTTTCTCCATCCTGCGGTCTGGAATTCAGATGTGATGCCCAGAGCTCCGGCAGCCATTTTGCACTAAGAGGGATGGTGTGGGGTCTTGAGGGAGGTTAGTCCTCAAGGCTTTGTGGCACGGAGCTGCAGTACCGGCCCTGTTCTGCCTGCCACTGAACGATTTTGTTTGTCCAGTGTTGTTTACATTGTAAACAAGCTTCCATCTTGTTTAAGCTACTTGCTTTCTATACAGGAAAACAGTGGCCAAGTGCACAAACACCGATGTTGAAGGATCTGTTAGACTGGCTATGGTAGCGAAAACTAACATTTATCTCCTTCATTGTGAATGTCCGGACTCAGAAACTCAGGTCTTGCCCCAACCGGGATTTGATCAAACACCAAAACCAAACAGGATTAGTTGTTGAAATACATCTTAAAGGGGCGTTGACAAGTTGAGAGGAAACTCTGGGGCAAAGGTCTTCCAGAGAAATGCAAAGAGTTGGAGGGAGGGAGGGAAGGAGGGAGGGAGGGAACAAAGAGCTCTCAATATGGGATTTGATGCCAAAAGTATAAATGAAGAGCCCGAGTCATTTCACATTGATAGGGACTGCACTCCATGGTGGAGTTAAAAAAGTAACGAATGTCTGTTTTCTGAGTAACATTCCCCCAGAGTCTCAGACACGCCAGGAGAAACGAACAGAAGCACAGTCAATGGTCGATGGTGTGGTGTTGATTCACTGCTCTGGGCCTTGACCGCAGAAGGTGGTGTAAAACAAACATGGGTATGGAGGAGGCAATAAATGACATTTCTAATAAAGAGGAAGAGGAGGCAATAAATGATATTTCTAATAAAGAGCAAGAAGTAAATAATTAAAGGGAGGAGGTGGATTTGCTACAGATGGTTACTTTTATCATCTGAAAGGCTATTAAGATAATGACTTCAGCAAGATGTCCAGCTATACATTCACCTCTGTGGTTTTCCTGCATAGAACCAGTTAGAAAATCAGACTAGGGGAGTCCTTTGGGAAAAAGAAATAAAACTAGATCTCTTTCTTACTTCTTATCCCCCACCCCTGAAAAAGGAATTCCAGCTGGATCAAATGTTTTAAATAGTTTTTAAATGAAAAAAAAAAAAAAGAATATGGCCTGCAAAACCGTTAAAATCTACTCCTGAAATCATTATTACATTATGTTAACTAACTTGAATTTTGAATTTTAAAAATTGTTAGAGAAATATATATAACATAGGTATCAAATCAAACGTTATCAGTTTTTACATTAAGTGCAAAATCACAAAATTCTCTTCCTGAAGTCATTATTACACTGTCTGGTTAACTAACTTGGATCTAAATAAAAAATTTGTTAAAAAAAAAAAAAGAATAAGAATACCCAAAGAATCTACAGGGAGATGGAGCAGCTTGTACAAATGTCCTGGGGCAGGAATGAGCCTGGGCCACTGTGGCTGGAGCAGTGGGCTGGATGGGGAGAGGAAGGCAGATGGGTGGGTAAGGAGCCTGAATTTCATTTATGTGCAATAGGTTTTATGTCCCAAAAGGCTAAATCCCTACACCTCACGGAGCTGAGATCTCTTGAGTTCTGAGCACCACCATGGATGGTTGTGAGATTTGAGAGAAGGGATTTTGTCCTGCAAGTCTCTTCTCTTTGCGATGGTGGAACGGCCCCGCATAACCCATCTCCTATGTGGCTCTCCCGCCCTGCCCTACTCTCAGCCACATGGACCTGGGAGACAAGTGACCGCTGATGGGGAACGCTGCCATCAACGACAAAGAGTCAGGGGCAGGGGGTGGGGGGGAGGTCCTAGGCAGAGGGAACTGCATGTGCCTGGTTTTTTCAGAGGACTAAGGAGGGGCTCAGAGGGAGCATGTTCTGGATATTTTTAAAAAGTCCTTATCTCTTTTCTCTTTTTCTTACAGTGACCTTGCAGGGCAGGTTCATTCATTCAACCGGTATTTACTGGGCACTTGCTGTGTGCTGGGCAACAATCTCTGCTCTCGGAAAAGCTTGAGAGGTAGTCACTAATCAAAATAAAAAACAGAAACAGAGCAAGTCAGCATCAATGAGGGCTGTGGGAGGGGAGCAGAGGAGGGGGAGGGGAGCAGGCAGCCTGGGAGTGCAGCATTCTTAAAGGGATTGTCAGAGGGAATGTGAAGGAAGTGTGGGAGTGCAGGTGTGTGGGGGGGCAGCAAGTGCAAAGGCCCTGGGGTAGGGCTTCCCCTGCCTGAAACAGGTTTTGGTGTTGGAAGAACCAGGCAGCCGGTATGGGGGGAGATGGGCAGGTCACATAGGGCCCTGGGGGCAAGAGTTTAGGTGTTTTCTCTGAGCCCAAATCTCCATCCCTGGGCAGAGGGAGGACCAGCTGTAATTTAGTTTCTCTCTAATCGTGCTGGCTGTTGTGAGGAGAATAAAATGTGTAGCCAGGGCAGATGTAGGAGAGAGACCTGTTAATTAGGTTAATTCTTAGGAAGCTGCTATAGTCATCCAGGCAAAAAAAGACAGGAATGATAACAATAATAAGAACTATAACAATAGCCCCCATCTACTGGCCGAGCGCTTTACACACATTACCCATCAAATCCTCTCCACAATCCTGAGCCAGGCAGCAGGATTACCCCCTTTTATAAATGAGTTAACTGTGGCTCAGAGGAGGAAAGTCATTTGCCCGAGGTCACCCAGCTGGTCAGCTGGGAGCAGGGGTTTGACCCGAGGCAGGGCTGACTGTGGACCCAGCCTGAGCAGAGGCCGGGAGGAAGCAGGGGTCCTGAAGTAGCGGCCGGCAGGGGCCCGCGCTGAGCAAGATCCCTTCCCACTGGCCCCGGGGCCTCCCCACCGCTTGCACCGGGTCAGGGAGAAACGGGGCGCCCGCCTGGAAGAAGCTGAGAGAGACTCCAAGACCTAGATGCTTCCTGGAGCCCCGTCGGCGACTGTGAGAGAACAGACACCAAAGGCCTTGAACGGGACTCTCAGACCCAGTCCGCTCCATGACGCACGCAGGGGCGTTCAGGAGCCAGACAGCCCCCCAGAGAGGTCTCTTTCCTTCCAAGTTTTGCAGCAGCAGCTGAGAGCCCTAGGCCCAGGGGGGTGCAGGGAGTGGGGGTGGGGGGCCGGCGTACCCTCGGTGTGCGGCTGGGCCACCCCCTGCCCCACCAGGAGGGAAGAGATCTGTGCGACCTTGACCATCAGGAGGGAGCCCAAGCAGCCTCCGGTCCGGCGCCCTCCCGGGCTCTCTGCTTCGTTCCCTCCTCAGTTCAGCGGCGAAGATTTATCTGAGTCTTATCTTTCTAGCGCTGACCTCTCCCACTGTCCTATAATCTCCATGTGAGCAGGGCCCTGTCTCTCTCCCAGTGTCAAGGGGGCCACCTAGTTTGCCAAGGGCTGGGCCGCCGAAAGCCTGCCTCCGCTGCGGCCGTGCGGGGTGAGTCGGCCTGGCTGGCCCCGGGCAGTGCCAGCTGGCAGTGCGGGCATGGTCTACACCCGCCCCTGGATGGGGGTCTGAGTCAGTGTTGTCCCAGAGTCCTTGCTGAGTCCCGCAAGCAGAACCCGCCTGGGGCCTGGGGCGCGGGGCCTGGCCCGCCCGCATGAGAGGGGTGGGGAGGTTGTCCGGCCGGAGCGGGATGGCTAGAAGCTGAAGCGGGATGGGCAGAAAGAGAGACAGAGAGACAGAGGCAGGGCAAGAGGAGAAGGCAGGGCAGAGAGGGCAGGGGCGGGGGTGGGGGTAGGAGTAGCGGCGTGTGCAGATCGGCATGGCTCAACCACCACTCTCACCCCGTCCTCGCGTATCAAAGGTCCCTCTCGGCCTCTCCTCATCTCAGAGCTCCTGGGCCTTCTCCAACTCAACGTTCCCATCTCACAGATGTGGGGAAACCGAGGCCCAGAGAAGAGGCGGCGTTTGCCCGCAGCGTGTCCCCCCATCCCCACCCCGCATCTCAGGCTGTGGGGCTCATCCAGGCCTGTGCTCACCGGCTGTGTGTCCGCAGGCCAGCTGCTAACCCTCTCTGGGGCTTGGTTTCTCCATCTAAGAAAGGGGGTGGGGATGGCCCTGTTTCCTTGGTCTTGGCTGAGGGCAGGAAGGGAGGAGATCATGGGAGCCCAGCAGGCTGGCTGGCAGGGACCTCCAGCTCCCTTCCGCCCCCTCCTTCCCGGCCCCGGAAGGGCCGCGGGCCTCCCACGAGGCTGACCTTGGTGAAGCAGCCTCCCCTCCGTGCCCACCCCAACCCCCAGCCCTCCTGCCGGGCTGGCGAGGCTCCAGCCCAACCTGCAGCAATGGCCGTCTAGACCTCCCAGCGGCGTGGAGATGCAGCCGGGCAGAGGTCGGGGGGGGGGGGTGGGGGAGGCCCGGGGAGGAGGGGGCTGGAGTCCCAGCTCCAACCGGCCGAGGAGCGAGAGGCCCTCCTTCCCTCCTATCCCTCTCGCCTCCAACCCGGGAGTCGGGAACTAGGGAAAAAAGCCACAGGCCACTCGCTGTCCCCAGACGAGGACCCCCCCCGTCCTCAGGGCCCGGTGCCAGCCGGCCCTGGTATAGGCAGCTGTGCCGTCCCAGGCCTGAGCCGCCCGGTTCTGCCTGCTTACCTGACAGGTCCTGGTCCCAAGTGGCTCTGCCTGGGAGGGGCGGAGGCAGCCGGGTTAGTATTAACCCGCCCCGCCCAGCCCAGCGGAGGGGGAGGGGCGGGGCGGCTGGGCGGGGCCTTCGGCTGCACCAAGAGCCTACTGTGTGTCTGGAATCCGCCCAGACACCCCGATCCGGAAAATCCTGATGATACCGCAGGCGCAGGAAAGGGCTCGCATTATCGTGTGTCATGAGGGTTGACCCCGAGAAGGCGGAAGGCCTGTCCGGGCTGCCCCTGGCCTTACCCCAGGGCCACCGGAATTCCTTTCACTCAGGAGCAGGGCTCCCGGGAGCCGCCGAAGCTCTAGGTTCAAATCGTGGAGCTTCAGCAAGTCGCTTGGAAAGGGGGGGTATTCATAGCATCCTCCTCATGGGGCAGAGCGCCTAACGGTGGGCACCAAGCTGACTGTGTGCCAGGCACCGAGCCTGACAGTGTGTCTTATCTTCCCAGCCCTTGGAGGGGGATGCTGTTACAATCCCATTTTACAGATGGGGAGACAGAAGCCCAGAGAAGTCAAGAGCCTCGGCAGAGTTGGTGTCCAATACCAATTGACAAATACTATTCAGCCAAATAGGAGTGCTTCATGTCTGATGAAATCTTTCAGGAATCCTAGGCAGGATTTTGAGAGAGAGAGAGAGAGAGAGAGATAGCAAGCAAGCAAACAGGGAGGGGAGGGGAGGGGTAGAGAGAGAAGGAGACACAGAATCCGAAGCAGGCTCCAGGCTCTGAGCTGTCAGCACAGAGCCTGATGTGGGGCTCGAACCCACAGACTGCGAGATCATGACCTGAGCCGAAGTCAGATGCCTGAGCCACCCAGGCACCCCAGGTAATGCTTTTATTTCCTGCTTTATAGATGGGTAAACTGAGGCGCAAACAAGTTAAGTGGCTGGCTCGAGGTGCTCTAGCTGGTAAGTGCAAGGTCAGATTTGAACCCAACTCACATGGTTGGTGGCAGGCTGGGGGCGGTGGGGGGTTGGGGGGGTGGCGGGGAGGGTACATAAGGCACAAGGCCTGGGACTTGTAAATGTGCCTTGCATGTTGACTTCTGTGGGGAATTCTGAGCTGCTCTTTGCCGTGTTCTTGGAGACATTCAGTTGCTTGAGGAGCAATCACTCTCTAGGCAAAAGCTTGGATGAGAGGTGAGCAGACCCCCCTCTCAGCGGTGGGGACACAAGAATGTTTTAGGGGAGCCTCCGCCGGGACCCCAGCAGGGAGGCTGCTCCTGGCCCATCCTCCCATGCTCCTTTGCTCCTTCCTTTTAGACTCTAACCATTCTCCCTCCCTTCAGTGGGACCCGTGTCCCTGCTGGTCACACCGGCCATCAAGGACTCCTCTGTTGCTCACTAAATTAAGAAAAATGCTGGAGTCTCACATTTCTGTCCCTTCTCAGCTGGGACCAAGAAACCCTGACAAACTTTTATCACTTGCTCTTTCTTATTCGCAGCCAGAACTGCTCACCATTCTCCAAGTATTTATAGTAC